TACATGGGTACACTTACACACATGTAGGCAATACACTCATACACATAAAATAAAAAATTATAAATTAAATAAAAACATTAATTTGAGGAATGGGAAAGATGGCTCAGCAGTTCAGAGCATGTACTGCTCTTCCAGAGAACCTGAGTTCAGTTCCCAGCACCCAGGTCCGGTCACCACCCACTGTGACTCCAATTCCGGGGGAATCTGATGCCTTGTTCTGGCCTCTGTGGCTATCTGTATACACCTGTACATACACACATGCAGACATATATAAACATATAAATAAATCTTTTATTCTTAAAAATTACTTTGAAAAACAAGTTCCAAGTTCTGAAATTTGCTTTTAAATCTGACAGACTCTTTCTGGAAGACCATAGATATTACAGAAACAGAAAAACTACTTAAAAGGCTACATGTTAACAAAGGTAGCTAGATTTTTGAACAAAAGCAACAAATGGAAGTACACCAGCAGCTGGCAGGTTCTCTCCCTTGTGTAAAGACACTGTGGGACAGCTGGGGAATGCAAGCTGCTTTTGAACAGGCTGCTATGTGATCCAAAATAACACTGCCTGCTCTTCCCCATAAAGGAAAGACAGCCCAGCACAGGCCAGACACATGCCTGGCAGCTGCTTCAGTCCACAGTGGGAGCACAAGCGGCTACAAATGAGGCGAGAGGCATGAAGGGGGAGGGGGACCTTGGTCTTAACCCTTTACATCTGTCAACAGTTACAGGGGCAGCTCATCAGTGTGGAAGAAAGCTGCTTTTCATGTACAAATGTGAACCCTACACAATGACAGTCCATCTCCTACTCCCACCTACAGTATTTATGCTGTATACAGAAAGAAAGCTTTATCAATCCACTGATTGGTAAATGGCTTTACATAGTTTCCAGAGCTTTAGGCTGTCTTTTATTTGAAAGATAAAGGCACAAAGTCCAGGAGAGTAAGGGGGAAGGGAAAGGAGAGGAGGAGTTGGGCTATTTTTCCACTTAGGTTTGTGAACTTTCAAGTGTTTTCACATGTGAAACAGACATCCTGGCTGCTAGATATTTGACTTTCCTATGTCTTATTCCAGCAGTTTCTAAAAGTCAGAGTAGCCATTTTCAGCTCAAATAGTTACCTCACTTGAACAAACATGGTTCAAATGCTGGGGCTCAGGCTCTCCTTCTTCCCCCACCAACTTGCCATGATATCTCTCAGAAAATATTCCCATTTTCAAGCTGGGCGTGGTGGCACACACCTTTATTCCCAGCACTCAGGAGGCAGAGGCAGGCAGATCTCTGTGAGGTCGAGGCCAGCCTGGTCTACATAGTGAGTTATAGGCCAGCTAGGGCTACAGGGAGACGCTGTCTCAAAAAGAGGTAGACCCTGCTTAAAAAATTAAGAAACAAAAAAGGAAAGAAAGAAAGAAAGAAAGAAAGAAAGAAAGAAAGAAAGAAAGAAAGAAAATATTCCCATTTTCCAGTAACACAGCCTTCTTTTTTTCTTTAGTATTATAGTTGGTTCATGCATTCGAGGGAAAAAAAGATGCATGCTTCCTTTTCTCCAGTTCAGAGTCTTGTCTTCTTGGTAATTTGGATCCTACCTTTAAATTTAAAGGAAAGAGAAATGGCTGGAGAGCCAGCCACAAAATTATACAGTGGCAAGACCAAGAGGAAAGCTTCACGGTTCCGGAACCCCTGGCAAATTCCCTGGGCAAGCAGACAGTTTCCATCAATGCCAACCTCCCCTACCCCCAGCTTGCTGACAAAGAGGAGGACTCTCTCAGTGTACAATACCAAAGTGTTCACAAACTGGTGAGCTTGTGCAAGCCATCATCTTTACCTGTCTCACTGCCATGTGGAAAGGAAGAAAGGAGGATGCTGTTCTTAAACCACTTTGGTTTGCTGAGCAGCTCCTGTGTACCAGGCACTGGGCCATGTATTATATATGTATTTTCTAATTTATCCTTGTGGCTTGAAATCAGGTGACACCACTGTTATCCCTGTTTTAAAGGAAGAAAATGAAGCTCAGAGAGGTTGAGCAAGTGGCTAGGCAGCGCAAGTTGTGGAGGCAGCAGGTGAAGCCAGCTACTGTAACTCTACAGGCTTGCCCTCACTGTCCCTGTCTGGTTCTGTGACTAGCACAGCAATAGGGTGTTCTGGGCCCCAGAGTGTGATTCCAGAGTCCCCACACCTCTCTCTTAAGGTGATACATTTCAAGTTGCATTCAGGATAATACCAAAGTCCCACATTTTAATTTTTCTATAGAAGCTTCTATTTCTCTAGGAAAAATACAGGGGGAGGGGTGTTAAAAAAAAAATCAGTCAGGAAGGTTAATTGTTGTTTGCAAACCAAACCTCACTTAATTTTACACAAACATTCAGCCCAGTGCCCATGGTCCTTCCAACAGGAAAGGCAAATGGCTCTGAGCCTGGAAGCATTCTTGCCCCCAGGTTCACCTGGAGACTGACCTCATGAAGCAGGAAAGAGTGATTCCTGATCCTCTCATGCGATTGTCCTGTAATTCTAAAGGTTTTTAGAAAAGGTCTAATTCTTTCCTCATTCCTTAAACTCTACAGAAAGTTGTCGTTGAGGTCGTGGTACTAACAGAAGCCCCGAGTGCTGGGGAAAACTAGTGAAGCCCTAATGCCTAACACAATCAAATGTGACCATGGTTACAGCCGGACCCAAAATTATACAAGAACCGCATGCCTACTGGAGCACCGCCATGAGCCAGCCTGAGTGTGAAACCCTAAGGAAAAAAACAAAACAAAAAACAACAACAAAAAAAAAAAAAAAAAAAAAAAAAAAAAAAAAAAAAAAAAACAAGAACAACCACAACCTCTTTAGCAACAACAGCAAACGCTGTTGAAGGCCCTCTGGAGCAGAACTGTCCGGTGGACTTTTAGCTTCCTCAGCACCGGGTTTCCTTATCTGTCAAAGGGAAATAACCTTCGGAAGGAGGTCGTGAGGTTCGAGCAAATCTGAGGATGACGGATTCTCCTACATAGCAGGCGCTGCATTACAGCCAGCCCTGCCCTTTCCTTACAACAGAGTACAGAGGCGCAGGCAGATGAAATATGAAAAGGTGACTTTCATGCACTGACTCTGGAGCTGCGGGTCCCTGACAAGAGTGTGCCCGCCTGGCTTTCTCTTCTACACTGCGCCCTTCCCTCAGGTCCCAAGACATGACGCGAAGCCTCCTCTGACAGCCGCGTGGCTGTACTGTTTCTGTACGAGGGGTCTGCACGGTACCACAACCTGAGATGGAGGTGGGATGGCGGAAGGCAACTGGCCTTTTCCCTTCCGCAGAACTTGCGACCGCAGTAAACTGACTTCAACAGGTCTGCCACGCCTGCACCGGAGGCGCTTAACCCTGCACCTGACCCTGGTTGTGGCCCGGGAATGCAGCCTCCCGCCTAACTAATGCAATCACGGTCTTCTGGGGCTCCACTCCCCAGGTGCGGGGGCAGCTGGCTGTCACTCCGGTCTCAGTCCCGCCCCTGAGGAGCCGGCACACGCGCAGACACCACCCGGAGGGGTGTGGGCGGGCGGGTGGCAGGGCGCGCCCGGCGCCCAGTTCAAACCCGCGCTAACTGCAGAGGCGTCGGCCGGGGGCTCACTAGCCCCAGAAATCCTGCGTCGTCGCTGAGCAGGCGATGTCCCAGAGGTGCACACCGGCGCGTCGCTGTCCTGGAGCCCTCTTCCCTTCCTCCCTCTTAACCGGCTGTTGAGCTAACTTCCCGAAAGTCACAGAGAGAAGTCCAAACCCAGCCCGATCGCCGGGCAGGGGCGGCGCGCACCAGCTGTGCGCCGGGACGGAAGTGGGTGGAAGTGCTGGCCGCGCCGCGCCTTTGTTACGGTCCGGGGACCGAGTGGCTACCCTCAGCACCTGGTGGCAGCGGCAGGTAGCCCGCTGCCCTTCCCCGCTAGCGCCTCCTAGGCTCGTGCCTCGGCCCGCGCGGGGCCGCGGGCAGCCACCCGGAACCGGACCTGGGATCCTAGATCCCGAGGGGCGCGCGGCGGCTATGCCGGGGGACCGCCGTCTGCAGCCGCATGCTGCCTTTCTTACCCTAGGCCATCCAGGGCCACTCCTCACCTTGCCCAGCTTTCCCCACGCCTACGCTGGCAGGATCGCGGCTCCCAGCGCGCGACGGTGTCTCCCAGCTGCGCCACGGCCACTCCCCTCCACGGCCTCGGAGCGATGATCCGGTTCCCCCCGGGATGATTCACTGCTCCGCACCTGAAGGCTAGCACGAGTCCCCTCCCCTCCGCCGGCCCGCGCGGCCACCGGGAGCTGGCGCCCTCTGCCGGGTCACCCGGAGGGAGCCTCGCAGGACACCGGGTGCAGGGAAGGTGGAGAGAGGGAGGCACAGGGGCATGGACACCCCTTCCCGAGATGCCTCCGCTGGTCACGGCTTCCCGAGTTTCCACCGCGTGTCGTCCCTTCCCGAGCAGGGGCCAGCGTGCAGGGACGGTCTAGAGCTCGATTCGCATATGGAAAGGACCAAAACTGTGCCTGCGTCCCGGACAGGCACACAAGTCCAGAGTCACCTCCTTGGCGGCCCAGCCGGCCCAGTTCTGTCCCCCTAAAAATGTCCCAAGAAAACCACAACGCATCCACACACGCACGTTCAGTTTTAGATCACCGGAAACACAGAGTTTACTATGTTCAAAAACTAAGTTTGTGCCCCGGGTCTGGATGCCTCTGCTCTGCGGAGATGAAAGAGATGGAGGGGAGCGGAGTCTATCACACCCGGTGTCCCCGGGGAGGAAATACAGTCAGCAAGCTCCCGGTGCGGCGGCAGTGGCGGGGTTGGGGATTGGTGGCGGGCGGCTCACGGACTGGGGGAGTGTCTGTGGACTGCCCGACCCAGTAAACACTGCTAGCGGGTCAGCGTCTCAGCCTCCCGCAGGTCCCCAGTGAAACTCTGGACAGGAAGAGGACCTCTGGGCGCAAGGGCCTGTTCCTGACCCGACAGCATCCTCCGGGGCCCCATACATGCCCACCCCACTCACCTCCTCCTTGCTCCAGCGCAGCGGGGCCGCTGGAGCGCCGGCACCCAGATCCGGGGGACGAGGGACCTCAGGATCAGCCACCAGGTCTCCCGCCCGGGGCTGGCTCTCCAGGAGGGAACTGGGAGAGTCCGTACCGCCCCAGACCGTCGCAGCGGCTGGAGCAGAGCGAGCTATAAGCTGCTCAGGGCTGACCCGGCGCCTCCTTCCCGGAGAGCCGGCTCGCGAGTCCCGGTGCGGCGGGCGGGCGCCGGGTATTAATTGTGGGGCCCCCGGGTGTCGCCCGGGCGCTCTGAGTGGCTCTGCTGGCGCGCCAGGCCGGCGGGGCCGGCGCGACCCACCCCCTCCGCGCGCTCCCGCCCGGGGACGCGCCCCGCGCACGCGCCTCGCCTCTAGCTGCTCCAGGGCCCTGGTCTCTTCTTGCCCGCTGCATTGGCGCAGCTTCCGGAGGCTAGAGGGACGCAGCTCACCTCCGAGTCCCCAGCGGCCGCCGTGCCTTTTCAGCGGTTCTAGGGAGAAGACCTGGCAACCCAAGCGATCTTTGCAGCCCGAAGCGCTCGGGGCCGGTTGCCAAGGAGACTGTCCGTGTTCCTTGGCTCACATCTGTGCAAAGTCCAATAACCATCACACCCCCGCCATACACACACACACACCAGACTTCAGGGGAACGTACCTGCTTCACTGGTTCTAGCAACATCTTCACTGCCTCAGGAGCAGCTCAACTGGTAAGCACAAGATCACTCCCCACTCCTGAGGTGGCTGACTCGCCACACCTACAGGTGGGGCCAACCAATTTGCATTTCTCACAAGTTCCCAGAGGCGATGCTGAGTTAAAGTTTGTGAAAGCGCTGGGTGAAGAGTTGAGTGATACATTTAAACTTGGGAAAAATGTTACATTTCTGTTTCAGCAGATAGTGTTAGCATTCAGCCTCCAATCCCTGCTGCTTCTGGGTGTTACTTTCTTGGTTTTTTTTCTCCCGAGTATGCACCTAACTAAAGCAGCACAGCCACACTCCCGCCCCGCACCCCACCTCCTGCAAAAACAAAGTACGTGCATTTGTTTGCTTAGGGCCTAAGATGAAATCAGACTCAGGCTTGAAGAAATGTTTATTTCCCCCACAGTTATTTGAGTTCAGAGGTCCAAAATCAAGGTGTCCACAGGGCTGGTTTCTCCTGAGGATTATGAAGGGTCTTCTTCCCCACCCTTCAAATGGACTTCCCTGATTCTGTCAGCGATCTGATTTCTTACATTGACATATGGCCTCCTTGAAGCTTAATTACCTCTTAGAGACCTGGTCTTAAACACAGTCACATTGTGAGGTACTTAGAGTTGGGACCTCAACATAATTGAGCACAGGAGGTGGATGGGACATAACCCATAGCTGTGAACCTCACTGCTAAGTTTCTAGAGCAGACATTGAAGTTTGCCTTCTGAAGCCCCTGCCCCACCCAGTCTCCTCCACTTAAGCTGACCTGTGGACTTGTCACACACACACACACCAAAGTGATGGGACTCACGCTGGGTGGACTGAAAACCCAGTAAAGGAACAGTCTGCTCAAGTCCACAAACCTGCAAGTACTTTATGAAAAGAATCCTGGGATGCTGGACCCAGGCCCAACAAAGGGTTCAGAACTGGCCCTTTCAGCCCTTCCTTGCATATACATGATGTATCACTTCAGAGCCCAGCTGTCCCCCTCTGCCTGGAACCTGTGACACTCATAGCAGAGTTGAAGAAGTAGAGAGAAGCTTCATTCCTCCTTGGATCTGAGAGATCCAATGGACTCTGCAGCTGCTGTAGGCAGGAGGGAAAGGAAGATGGGAATTTGTACCCTGAATAAGACTTGTCTTCAACACAGCAATAGCTCCCCTGTGATATGGGGCCTTCCCGAGGCCTCACCCTCAGTACTCTCCTGATCCCACTTCAGGTGGGGGTAGAATTTAAAGTGGCTGTGTGGTCCAAGAGTCCCTGGACCTGGAGCATTGGGAGAAGTCTGGCTTGAAGAAGAGTTGAATGAAGCCACAAAGAAAGAGTCTTCTTTTCAAATTCCTCTTTTGTTTATTTCGTTTCCTATTATAAGTATCTAGGGTTCCAGAGACAGAGCTTTTTAATCAACTGGACCTTAAATCTGTTTTGTGACTAAACACTACCATTATTTTTTTTCTTTTTAATTTTTCCCTTTTTGAGACGGGGGTCTCATAAAGGTCAGGTTGGCCTAGAAATCACTACATAGCTGAGGACAACCTTGAACTTCTGATCCTCCTGCCTCAACCTCCTAAGTGCTGGGATTACAAGCATACACCCCCATGCCTGACCTCTTTTATATGAAGTAAAATTAGAAATAAAAAAATAATAAAAAGTGCATCCTAAATAGAGCAGTTGGACTTACTACACTTGCGAAGGGTCTCTGTGTGTGTGTGTGTGTGTGTGCACGTGTGCGTGCGTACAAGTGCATGTAGGACTGTGTC